AAACAAAGCAACGACTCTCCTCTACGTAACCTATCCACATGTTTCCTTGATGATGAAACGATTCACTATGAGGGTCGCATGTTAAATTTTCATAAGTTTTTAGATAACTGATGCAGTCACAACTACCTGAAACTGGTGACAACTCAAAACCAAGAGGACATTCCTCAATGTGGAAGAAAACATATTTGGTGTGAGGATCTTGTTCTTGCAATGACAATGTTACTACTTGAAGAGATGATGCCATTGATACATTAACATGAGGATAGTACTTAATGGAAGTGCAGTTTGTCTTGGTTGACTCATACCTCTTCCTAAAAGTAACTGGACTTCTTTGTATCTGTTCACTGATGGTGATCACACCTGGAGACACACCCTCTCTTTGTCCAACAGTCACTAGGTTAATATTTTGAAACTGTCCTGGTAGCAGAGAAAAATTTAAGGACTTTAAAGCACAATCGATTATTCCACTGTCATTACAAAAGCAAATTTTCTCTGGATCAGAAGACATTACTGAAAGCCCAGTCTGATTAATAAAGTGAAATATAGATTCAAATGAAACAGTACCGTTAACAATGCTATACTCTGTATCATTATTTATCATCAAATGACAAGTATCAATAAATCCACCATACATAGCTGAACCAGCTATCATAGCATCATTATTCTTAAAGATAACACTTGTGTAGTTTTGAAAATTAAAACTCTGAGGCCGCATAAAGCATGCATTATGTGATAAAGAAGGATTAATGTTGACATAAATAGCTCCCCCTTTTCTTGAAGCAGTGTTGTTTTCAAATAGTAACTGCACAGGTAATCCAAACTGAACAATTGACTTTTCATTTATAAATAAACCAGCACCATCTTCTGCCTTGTTGTTTATAAACAAGTTGTAGCCAACAAAAGTCACAGTGGAGTCTGATATCATCATTCCAGACAAAGAATTATCTGCTACAGTAACATTAATAAATACAATGGTCATTATTTCATCTATTAAAATTGCACTTTTTAATTGACTACTTGAGATGCTGTTGTACAGGTAAGACATTTGACTCTCTTTAATTGATACATTACTGATCTCTATGCTGGCACTGATGAATAAGATATTCAGACTTGCACCACTAAACCCACTGTTGTTAACCATTTGACAAAATTCAATGATTATTCGTCGATTGACTCTACAAGGGTAATGGCCTATACCACAAAGAGTCAACCCAGCTCCATTAGGGCTGTTATTGTGAATAAATTGACTGTGTTGAATAATTATGACAGGAATTTCTGGTAAAACATTTCTTTTAAAGCACTTTGAAGTGTATGAAGGTAGGCATAAATACACAGAAAATGCACTTCCAGCGATAAAATCAAGCAACTTATTACGCTTAAACAAATGTATTGCATTTCCATACATGCTGGTACAGTTTGAGATAAATAAACTCTGATATGTCACATACTCAGAAGCTAAGTAATAGAAATTACCTGAAGTTATCCCAGAGTTACCAAAGAGAATGAGGTTTTTCATTGTAACATTGACACCATAATGATCACCTTGTATCAGTATGAATGTGAGTCCACTGGCAGATGGTGGTTTGTACAGAGAATTATCAAAGCCAAAAGAAAAGTTAGAATAAGTTATATTTGTGTGATAAATATGGAAGAAGTTTTGACACTGTTCCATTGATGTATAGATGAACAATGCATTACCTCCCCTACAGCTATTTATTTTAGTACAATTTGTGTAATTAGCCAAATTATTGTAAGCAAAAGAGGAGTTAGTAATGCTAACATTAAGTGCATTAATACACATCAATCCCAGGTTAACTGACTTTTGTATAGAAATTTTATGCAAAGTGATAAGTTGTGTATTTATAATTGCTAATGCTTCAAAACCATCAGTTAATGAATATTGGGTAGACGACACTTCCATAGGTAATATATTCTTAGTTATATCATCAGGAATAAGGCCCCCACAGTTAACAAGTGTAATACCAATTATGCTAACCTTTGAACAATTGTAAAACACGAATCCACTGTTTGAATG